GAGTATTTTAAAAAAGAGCAATGGTAAGGTAGTTTGGATATCTTGGTATAAAAGTGCAACTTTAACCTTTCGCAGTTTTATTATTTCACTAATGTTCAGGGGGTTATATTAAAATTCTATGTAAAATTCATACTTTTGAAGACCAGACATAAAAGACATTCTTTCTAATACTAGTATTACATCAGACAATGTTGAGTGATATTAATGTTTAAAAAGACTATGAAAATACTGAAACTCTTCTACTTTAAGGAGTTTTCCCTATTTACTGATAGGTTGAAAAGTACTGAGTTTTTGTAGATTTTGCATATTGCAAGAAACTTCCAGAATTCCAAAGCGGCAGCATTGTCATAGTTTGTTGTATAATTAAAGGTCACCTTCAGTCTCCAGAAATGCAGATGCAGCTGATTACAACAGGAGTTCATGGAGATCTGAGTAGAAACTTGGGCCTGCAATCCTTGATCTTCTCTGATATTTAGTCTTGGTGTTTACAGATACAGAAACTTCGCAGGCAGTTGTTATTTGAAAAAGAAAAGATAAAGGAAATCTCTGGAGGGAAAATGCTAAAGATACATTGACATCACTAGCAGCAGTTCATTGTATTACAAAGTTGTGAAATATGAGCTTCTATGTAAAAAGGCTGTGCTTTTTCAGCTAAAGAAGAGTTTATGTTTAATAGTTATATTAAAAACCAGAACTAACCATGAACGTGTTAAGGTTGAAAACTAAATTAGAAAACCTTGGTAGTTCACATTTTTGTGGGCTGTTTTGGTCAAGTGTATTCTTGACATTATGTCAAAGCAAAGCAATATTTTTACATGAATCGATATGATCTGGGTCATAATAAAATAATAAAATGAGACAACACAGGGGCAGTAGTCTGCTGAAGCTGGAGTTCCAACACAAACTCCCTAAAATGTCTAAGACATGGAGCCTGAAGGCTAAGTGAGGTAGGGAAGTAGCCAACTAAATTACCTTGATGAAAGACATCATGTAGCTTCCACCTCCCCCTCAAAGATACAATCATCACTTACATGTTCATCATTAAGAAGGTGATGAATGGCAGAACAAGCAGAAATGGAGCACAGAATGCTTTAAATGTGCTCAAAGCCCAGGTCAGATGTGACTTTTGCATATTCCTTTTGAGAGCTGCAGTAAAGAACCTGCAGTGTGGTGTACAGGGAATCTAGTGACATGTCTTTCATTAGCCAGCCACAAAGGTAGACTCCACAAGAAAAGGTGGAAGATCCCACCTCTCCCTAGAGAATCTTACAATGGGCTCTGTCTCACCACAAACCTGGAATCATCTACACTACAATGGTCACTCTGCAATGGGAATATACACAGTCTGCAATCAAAAGGTATAAATCAATTCCCCACTGGAAAACACTGAAGTTTGACTTTAAGAATGAAACTGCTCTGCTTTCATAAGCTAAAGATGGGTCTGGTCTGTATTTTTGCTTCCTGTTGATTCTAAAAAAAAAAGGAAGCACTGTAAAACCTGAAGAACAAGGAAATCATTGTTTGACATTAGAGCTGGAGTTTACATACTTCCCAATAAAAAAGAAAGGCAAGAAAATGTGCTGAATGAATACACAGATTGGAAGGTGCCCAAACCAGAGCAGATTTCAACCAACCTGTTCCTGAGCAACTAGAATAGAAACGATGTCAAAACTTGAGGAAGGAAGAACGGGATTTGCTCACACCTCACAGGCTCACCTTCAGAGGTGTTTTTCAAGATGAGGTATAAAGAACTCACCATTACAGATCCCTGCTACACCAGTGTTGTTTATGGCAGCTCTGAAACTGCACTGTCACAATTCCAGCTGAAGTCTGGAAATTGATGGAAATCCCTGCTAAAGACAACTTTTTTTAGATCCTGGAAGGAATTTTCAGACTCTGCAAAATACTACTTTTCAATCTTTGAATTAATTTTGGGTTCTGCCCATTTTGTGCCAAAATGCTTCTAACCTTTATGGGCTATGCAATGACTTGCTGCTTGTCACATTGCAAGGTATGAGTTGACACAAGAAGGGACAAGATTTATACATGACATTAGGAGCTGCTGGGAGAGAGGTGTAAGAACCAAGGGGACCCAGGCATTCATTGACTCTCTGAAGAATGTCACATGGAGAGCAAACCTGTCAAAACCATGGTGACAGGAAAGAGCAAATGGCCCTTCCTAATGTGCTAGGAACTGGGGGTTGCCCCACAGGGGGATGCTCTCCTGGACTGCTGAGCACAACATTACATGACAGATGTGTTTTAGCTGAACTAGACTCTGCAGATGCCCCAAGGTGGTAACAAACCATCAAAGCCTCAGTTTATATTAAAAAGCCAATCTTAAATCGGCACACTGCAGGTGCCAACCTGCAAGCAGATCCACCAGGCCTGCCTCAGGGATGGCAAGAGAATTTGGAAGCAAGAACAGCCTCAGCCATGTAATTTTTGTCTAGCCACTAGTCTAGCAGAGCTCCAGGTGACCAACTCCTCCTAAGATGAATTCCTGAATGTTTTAGGTCAGACACAGGCAGACAGGCAGGAATATGGTCACACAACCACCTCAGAGCTTGCAGGTTGGAAATGAAGGCACCTACCAATGGACACACTATTGTGCTCAGGCAATTAGTACCTGCATGGGCATCTGTATCACAGTTTGGATCTAGGTGTCATTCTGTCCATGCAAGACCTGCTATAGACATGAAAGTTATGGGCCAGGAGAGAAAATAACCTTTCTGCTTGCCTGAATATATGTGCATTTCATCTGATAATATTCAAATCTCTTTAGCTACATTATAATGAGGTTAAAGCAAGAAAAATTTCCCCACCTCAAATATTACAAATGTCAGTAATGAGAACAGTAAAAATGTCACCACACGGAGAAAAGAGTGAAATTAGCATATTTAGGGGAGTATTATACCCATGAGTGAAATAATGCAATCAGCTAGCTGCAAGATAAAGCTAATTTGGTTTCCAACAGTTTATCAACAATACACTGCTCCTTTACATTAACAAATTTAACCAATACCATATCCTGCAAACAAGAATAATTCACACAGAATATTACACTGTGTTAATTAAATAGCTGGAATAGAAAAGGTCAGGCCATGACTGAAAGATGCGCATATGGGTTGTGAAGCTATGAAAAGATGGAGCGATTTCAAATCAAGCAATTAAAATGAATTATTTAAATCACCATTAAGTCAATAATAAATATACTTAAATATTTTTGAGCCTATTTTGACAGCCCCTTTAGTTTGTTGCTGTTTCTCAGAAATTTCTCTTTCCTGTTGACCCATGAGTCAAAATATCTTGCAACCCATCGTAAGATGAAGTGTCTTGGATAAGTTATCGAAGAGTTATCTTGCTTATATTCAAGTTTTCATTTGACCACGCAGATAATATGAGGCATGAGACAAGTTTTGCAGTTAAAAAGGACACTACAAAACCCCACTTGCCTTATTTCTTGATGGGTTTCCTGCCACTAGAACCATGAAACCTCCACAATTACTACAGTTAATTGAAAAATATTCAAAGAGAGAAGTGCTTTTTACACATTGTTTACTTCTGCAAATAGCAGCACTTTGTCTTTGGATGAATGCCAGCAAATCACTTAAATTACAGTTGTAACGTACCCTTTTTTAATTGAAAGAACATTTTGGCATGGGCTAAACTATGCTGAGGTGGTAATGTATGAAAAAGACTTAGTAAAATGGGGAATTAATCTTATTTGGAGCTCCAAAGCACTACCAGAATATATATCAGTCATGAGGAAGTCTGAATCTCACCCTATGTTTTTACTGTACTTTTGTCACTATAGCTGTACACAGCAGCCTCAAATTTGGGTTTGCTGTATGTCCCCCATTATTTAATTGTGTGTGAATTTTATTTTTCATGGGACATTTCCTGAAGTTTTGTAGACAAAATATAATTTTCTTTTGAACACAGTTCTGCCGATTTCAGTCAGCATATACTTCCTTGTTGCACTTTCAGTCTAGGAAAACTGAGCTGCATGGACTAAAAACATGCGATGTCTGTAATGTTCTGAGAAGAATTTCATGGGAATGAAATGAAAACTCTGAGGTTTTGGCTGCAAAATTGTGGGATGATGGCCATGTGTAAAATTCAGCTGTGCACTGCCCAACACATCAACAGTTATGACACTGACACTGGACATAAAACCAGTCTGTGGGGATCCCACCGTTCAGCTCTCCTCATTTAATTACATGGGCATTTATTAAGCCAACTTCCAGACTTGGTGACAGAATGTCTAATCAAGCCACACTGAAATACCCAATATTTTAGGGAACATGAAGCACTGTGTAGCATATGAGCCATTAATTTTATGACAAGTACAGATGGCTGATCTACAGATAAATTCTCACATAAACTAATCTAATGAATATATACTTCAATCTATTTAAATGATAATACTAATGAGCAGAGTGTTCCCCACATGATGGTATATTGACCCGAATTATTTTAAAATGGACTTCTGCGCATGTTGTATCCGAACCCTGCTATTTTTTCCCTCTCAATTCGGACCATGGTTGAATTGTATCCACCAAAGCAAGACGATTTCCTTCTCCCTTTAAGAGGATCGATATCCAAGGGATGCCCTGCTGCAGCACCTCCCTGCGGTGAGGGGCCCGCGGCCGACAGGGACGTGTCGGAGGAGGAGCTGATGCAGGGGCTCGGCGGGTCCAGTCACCGGCCCGGTTACGGCCCCGCTTCAGCCGCCGCTTCACCCTCCCCATATCCGCCCTCGGCCCAGGCCTGCAGCCACGCCGCGCTGGGGCCCGGGCGGGCCGGGCCGAGGGGCACCTACCCGGCGCGGGGGGACGGCAGCTCTGTGCCCCGGCCATGCTCCGGCGGCTCTGCCTGCGGGGCAGCTCGGGCGGGCCTCGCTCGGCACCGCCTTCAGCGGCGGAAGGGGCAGCGCGGCCCGGGAACCGCGTCGGGGCGGAGCCGGTGGCGGCGTGACGGCCGGAGCTCCCCGGCCCTGCCGGTGACACCCGGGCGGCCGCGCCCGCGGGCCGCCGCGCTCCTGCCCCGGGCTCCTCTCTCCCGCTCCCCGCGGGGCGGCGGCCCGGTGCCTTCCCCGTCCCGCACGCCTCCGCTGCCCGCCGGCGCGACTCCCTCCCCGCGGGCGGCGGGCCCGGCTCTCCTCCGCGGCGCCGGTTCCCTCCTCCCCTCGCCGGCGGAGGAAGGAGGCGGCCGCCGGCCCTCTCCGACCGCGCATGCGGCAGCGCCGGGCCGGGGCAGCGCTGCCGCGCTCGGGGGCTGAAGTGTGGGTGTCCCTTCCCCCGGCCCCGTCCCCTCCTCCCCTGCGGGCCCCCGGCAGCGCCCCCGCAGATGGGCTTGGGCTGGAGCAGCGCGGAGGAGCGGCGGCCCCTCCTGCCGCCGCCGCCGCAGCAGCCGCGGCCGCAGCCGCAGCCGCGGGGGCCGGCGGGGGTCCCGGCGGGGCGGCTGCCGCCGCTGTCGGGCCGCGTGTACGGGCGGCGGTGGCTGGTGCTGCTGCTGTTCTCGCTGCTGGGCTTCGCGCAGGGCCTGGTGTGGAACACCTGGGGCCCTATCCAGAACTCGGCCCGCCTGGCCTTCGGCTTCAGCGGCTGGGACATCGCCCTGCTCGTCTTCTGGGGGCCCATCGGCTTCGCGCCCTGCTTCTTCTTCATGTGGCTCATGGACAAGAAGGGTGAGCGGGGCCGGGGGCGGCGGGGCCGGGGGTTCGGGACTCCCCGACCCGCTCCTGTGGCTTTCCCCGGGCCAGGCGGGGACGCCGTGGCCGTGTCCCCCAGCGCCGCGGTCCCGTGGCCGGTGAAGGGGACGCTGCCAGACCGGGGACACTCGGGCACAGTGGCCTCGGCCGTAAAAAGGGTTGACTAATACCTAAAAGGCATTATGACTGCTGTTTTCAGTACTCTGCCCAAACGAAGACTCATCAAAGTCCATTCACAAGGAAGATACTTAAGCTAAGCGGAATTAGGGCATTTGACGTCGCATGGGAGGTGTGGGTCTGGAGGAGCGTGCTCCAGTCCAGCATTGCCATCCAGCTGTTTGACCTGGTGGTGATTTCTGGTTACCAGCTGTCAAACAAACACGCGTTGATGTTTCGATCAAGTAATGCCATTGCTCAGGGTGGCCATTGCATCTTGAAATAAATTCTTCATTTTTAATTAAAAGCAGGCTGGACATGAAGTCGGTGGTTTTCTTTTCATTGATCTGAGAAGATACAAAGACAGGGAACACAGAGAAGTTGCGCTTTGGTGTTTCAAAGAGGAGTACAAGGGAGAGTTTCCTAATTTGTGTTCAGGCCGTTGCATCTCAGTAGCAAACTTACAAAAATGGTGTTTGTCTCTGGAGAACTTCTCCAGGGTCTGCGTGGTTCCTCTGTGGTCACCCAGGGGACCATTCCAGTGAGGTCAAGCATCTGTGTTTGCAGATTTCAGCTTTTGGGCCTAAATCCACTGAAGGGATTTCTTTTAATTGCTGTTTAAACAGACCTCTAAACAGGAGATAGTCACCAGTGGACCCTTGTGGCTCCTGATCCTAAGTGCTACTTATTCCATTTATTTAGGAATTGATAGTTCATTTGTGGGAAAGGAAGGGGAAGAGGAAGGGAAAGTGAAAGCAAGCAGGGAGAAAAGTTGTATTTGAGAAGGCCTGCTTCAAAACTGTAATTACGTTTCCTAAAACTGAAGAGGCATTGGGGGAATAAAATTTACTGGGCTGAAAGTACATTCTGGAAATGAGTCTATGGTGGCTGTACATCCAGTTTTCTCTCAAGCAGTTTAGACTTGAGTTGGCAATATCTGTCTCAACTGATACATAATAGTGTTGTTAATGATCTTAAAATTAAAACAAGTTATTTTGGTTTGTACAGTGAAGACTGCTCATGGCATGAAGGAAATAAAGGTAAATGTGAACCTATGCTTAGAGAGCTGAGTCTGTATTTTTATTTCTACGTTTTCTATGAAGTGATCCTGAGCAATGCAAAATAATACTGGAAAAGTTTTGAAGCAATTCGTGGGAAAAGAAACTTTAATATTTTGTTCTTTTATATTATGATTAGTAGTGTAGTTGTGGGATTTCTTGGTTTCACTTAAGGTTGTTTTGATGAGAATATGTATACAGGTGTTCTTCTCATTTCCTTAACTGATTGCTTGGAGGGTTCTTTTGTGTGTTTGTTGGGGTTTTTTTTAATTCTCATGTTCATTGGAGGTGCAGATATGAGCAACTCCTTTACTCTTGGTTTGTTGCTGTCCTTATTGAGAGAATGTTGGTAGGTAACCTGAACAGAGTATCTCAGCTCATTTGGCTGTGTGCATAAGGAGTACATATGGGCACTGGAGCAAGTTCTTTCCAGATCAGCGGATTTTGTGAGGGCCCTGAATGTTTTCTGATATTTGTTTCTTTCTGTTTGCTGAGTCTGGGTGATTCCCACAGAGAATGTGGTGCTGTTGACTTTGGAAGGGATGGTGGAGTCCTGTCACTTGCTTCATGATGGAGCAGAGAGGAGAGCTACTGAGCCCCCAGTCAGCCATGGGGCACACTTCACTGGAGGCATGTTGTGGGGAGGAGTTACCTGCTCTTTGGAGTACATGTGTTCCAGCAGGATCTTGACTATTGCTTTGAAGCTGTAAAGTTGGTTGAATCTGATCTTGCAAGGGTAGTATTTCACTTGCTTGCTGTTACACCAGATTTACTCTGGAGAAGCTACACCATTTACTCTTTGACTTGAATCATTTGTCACTGGAGTTGGCTAGTAAAGGAGCTGTCAGGAAAAAATGTATTTGTGAAGTGTCAACATGTAAAACCTGGCAAGTATCAGAAGTATGACACTGTAGATGAGGCATGTCAGAATCTGAGAGGAGATTGTGCTGTTAGATAGTCCTATACTTCACAGTCAGAGGTAAATCGACCTGATAAGTAGCTGCCTGCTGTCACTTAATCTGATTTTGTGTTATGATGCCTCAGAAGAAGTTCAGAAGTATTGGTCTTTTTGGTTTTTAGTTGTTCATTCGCAGCACATAGTTCACAGCATAAATCTGTATCCATACCAGACTTCTGTTGTGCATTTTGTGCACCTGCTCCTTGTTTCAGTACCCATTTGGTCACTGGTAAAGGTTTGGTCACTTTTCTTCTTTTTTTGCTTCTTAAGTAATTGGAAGTTGAAAGAACAAATATTCATGAATAGCATACTAATAGTTACAAGAAGCATTTCTTGGATTCCGTGATCCACTTCCATTATAGCTTTTCAGAGAAGTGTGGGACCCTCTGAGAAGAGACAACAGCAGTGTTTATTTTTAGTGAGAGGTGTACTAAATAAGCTCTTTTCTTCAGTTCTGTACAGAAGGGTTCTAGGAGGGAGGAATTACAATTTTTTTGGTTTTTCTAACCTCAAAAGGTTTATTGGCCTTTGTGACCTTTTTCCCTGTGGCCTGCTGAGGGTATCCCCTGGATTCACTCTGAAGGCCTGGTTGCAGCCAGCCCAAGCTAGGCAATTGGGGAATGGCAGGAATACGTGGACTGGGAAAGGTGTATAGATGGTGTCACTTCTGGCTCTCTGAGGAATACTTCTGGCAGCTGTACGCGTCCCCAGAGGATGACCCAGAAGGGTCTTGGTGCCAGAAGCAGCATGACAAAAAGTCTTGGTTGACTGAAGACCATGTTCCTATGGATCTGTAAGGATATCATGTTTTTTATGAAGTTGAGGATGATTTTTCATCAGGAGGGTAGTGATGAAGGCTTCATCACAAGGCTTCACAAAGAAGCCTTTTTACTTGAAGATCTGAGCAGACTCAAAGAAGACATTTTTGAAGGGATTTCCCACACCGTTCTAAAAGGTCTTTGAGGCAATGGAGGAAGTCTGGATTTAGCCCGTGTCTCTGTAAACTGTGTAAACTGAAAGCTACTTTGTGGTTTTGCTGAGCTCTTGTCCTCAAAAATGCATTTGTTTTCAGATGCATAGTGAGGTTCACATATCACAGCTGAAAGTTCTCTGGGGAATGAGCTCTGTTCCTGTTCCTGCCTCCCAACTTCTCTGGCTGAATTGTGCCAGCCCTTGGGCACCCCCAGGGGGTTTCCATGTTCCTTGGCTGGGTGCTGTATAAGGACAGTGGTGGCATCTGTCACATTTCTTAGTCCTATTCTGGGATGGGTGCATGATGAAAATCAGCAATTATATGTCACTTTTGAGTATGTGCCATTTTGGGTGGGTTTGAAAACTCTTTTCTATGTGTAGGATTAAAGGTGTTGTCTAGGTTGGTTTCTTAGTGAAGAAAGGTGAAAAGATAGAGGGTGCCATGGAGCTACATGTGTCTTGGTGCATTTTCTTTAGCAATAGGATTAGAGAGTCCTTGTTTAAATTCTAATTATCTTTAGAGATTTAATAGGACTGAAATTAAATGGGAAATTACTTCAGTGTGCTATTGGATGGACCCTTGTTGTTTACATGATTAAAATTAGCTACAATTTGTCACATGATGCTTGAGTGTTTATGTACATTTCGTGCCTTGAGTGTTTCATTTCCTGAGAACTGTAAGTGCAACCTCACAGGACTGTTAGGATGTTTATATGTCTAACTTGAAATCAAAAGCTGGATCTAGTTCACCAAGGGGGTTTTATTAAGCTCCTAGTTACAAAGTGAGACCTAGAAGCAATATATGTCAGTCTTCATTATGTTCCCATATAAGCAAGAAGAGGCAATGAAGGATGAAATATTTTATGATAGTTTACATTGAACAAATTGAATAGAATGGTAATTTTTTTCATTAATTTTAGGAATGCAGTGAACAGTTTTATATTGAATTTGAAGATGAGACATATTACTTGTAAAAGTGGAATGTAATCTATTTCTTGGTCCTTTTTTATAAAATTATATATGCTTATGTGGGTTGCATATACAATCTCAGTAACTTTATTTTGCTGAAATCGAATTTACGCAGCAATGTTATTCTAGTGATTACATTATGAAGTAGAGAGAAAACTTCAATAATCAGATTCTGGTTTTAATCAAGATTGGCTTATCCATTGACACCATGAAAGTTTTTATCTGTAAGAGTAGTTATTCCTTTCCTGAATACCACACTCTTTATTTTATTGCTGTCTCCTAAATCATGCATCTTGGTTTCCTTCTCTTAAGTTATTTGATGGCTCTTTCTCTTCCACCTGGGAATTTTGAGATTAAATTCCTTAATGCAGTCTGACAAAATTGTCATGAATATTGAGTACAAGTACTAAATCAGACCTTTAATAATACAAAAAATGTTCTTAATAACTGTTCTCCCTATAAAATAAACTATACATGATGTAGAAACAGAACTGTGCATGGCGGCTTTCATGTTTGGAGTTCCTGGATTGTCACTTGGTGCTGCAGGCATACACTGGTTTTGCTTTCAGGAGACCTTTGGATACATCTACCTCACATATAGGGTCACTGGGACATAAGGGAGGTGACTCCAGGTGAACTTGTTTTCTCCTGAGATTTTAGTCTAGGAGGTGTTTGTGAAATGCCTTTGGGTTTATTTTGAGAGATGTGAAAGTGGGTACAGAGAGAAAGCAGGTTGTCCTTCTAGAAGTTGGTGAAAACATTGAATGACAAGTGAATCCAACAGGTGGGGAAGATTTTTTTAAGTATTCCCATTATGCTTGGCATTTCAGGATCCTTCTCTGTCATTCAGGCTTTTGGACAAT